ATGACGTGGTCCAGATTCAATTATTTCTGGAAGTTGAAGAAAGCCATTTTCAAGCCCAGGATATGTAATGAGTGGATAATTAGGATACGCTAATGTTGATAAAAAATCGTCACCCAAAGGAAACTTCGGCAGAGCTGAATAGTATTTTCTTATTTCTGGCCACGAAAAATATTTAATGCAACTAAAATATTCAAAGCGTTGTACACATTGCAACATTTGTTCTGAATAAAGTTTTCTCGAATTTTCCGGTAAAAATTTTTCTGTCATTTGCAAAAGCTGATATCGATTACAGGTTAAAATTTTTGATAAAGTTTCATTATTTGCTGTGATATATGAGTATAAATTTTCGTTTGGAGGATTTTTTAATAATCCTTCCATCAATGCATTAAAAATCAAAATATCTGGATCAATAGGATTTGCATAAAAGCTAATGATTGGTACTTGTCTGCCTAACTTTTGTTTCTCATTGCCGCGTTTCAATATATTATCGTTATAGTTAATATCGAAAGTTTCTAGCATAGCTTCAGGTATATTTTCTACCATAATGGGATAGATGAAAATTCGCATGCAGTTTGAAATATTTAAGCTTCCAATGCATGTTGACATATTGTCAAGAAATGATACTCTTTGTTCTGGGTCAAAAAATTCTTGAGAGTATTTAATTATTTCTTTCTGAGAATCATTCAATAAAGAAGCTATGGGTATCGCATAACCAATATTATCAAAATCTGAAATATTTTTCTTTATTGCTGCCATTTTCAAGATATCTAAACACTGATTTTCTGTAAAATTTGGAACATCTGGAAGTATTTTGGATGCTGTCTCTCTTAAATTTTGTAAAAAATCTTTATTACGAATTTTTTCCTGAAACTCCAAAGCTTGTTTTTTCAAAATTTGTAACCTTTCTAATTGTTTGGCTCGGTTATTCATCAACTGCAATTCGTCACTTTTATTAAAACTATTAATTGAAGTTTTTAACGGGGCTTCTGCAATATTTTCTGAATGTTTATTAAAATTTTTTGATTCAACAGTCGGTGCTGTAGGATTCTCTTGAATACCAATATTTTTGGAGACTTCATTAATAATTTGAGACCGTTCAGAACTAATAGATTTGACATGTTTAGAGCTGTCACTTTCATCAATTTGTGAATTAATTGTCGATGACTTCTCCGTGTTTCTAGATTCAGTATTTACGCCAATTTTTGATACTTTTTCGTTTTCTTTTTTATTTTCCTCCTCAACATTGATATCCAATCTTCTAATTCCCTCAACGTTAACCCCTTTATCCTTTCCCACGTCATTATCAACTTGAGGTGCTTTCTCTTCTATAAGTTTTTTACTGATAATTTCGTCACTTTGTGGTTTTTGTTCGTTTACGATGTCTCGCTTTAATCTTCTAATTGGTGTTTTGAGTAATCGTTTGTATGCTTTTTGCTCTTCTTTGTGTGCTTGTTTGTTATGTAATTCTTTGAGTGTGCTGTCGACTGTTTCTTCAACTCGAACTTTTTTGTGATGATCAGTGTCGTGAGTACCCGTCACACCTCTTAACTTTACATCTGCATTTACTTTGTCAGACTTACCGGCAAATTCACTGGTTGGCTGAAGTTTTTTTTCTGTAATTTCGTCAACGTGCTGCAAACTTTTCAATTGTCCATCGGGTTGAGAGACTTTTACAGGTAATTTTTTTAAAGAGTCAATGTTCACGTCTGCAGCACTCGGAACACTTATTTCTGGAACAAATGTGCGCGCGTCACATCCCCACAAACTCAAAAAAATTAGGCAACCGCAAAACACTAAACAAATGTCTATCTTGGCTAAGATCAATTGATGACGGGGGACGAGTACACCCATGATCACGGTCGCGAGGCGAATGTTGAGCTCTGCCTTGTAGCCGGTGATTTTCTACATCCTGCTGACTGACCGAAGACTCCCATTAGTAGACGTACTCACACCAACGTAAGAACCAACCCGACAAGTCGCACGCACATGCCCCAAGCCAAGACTTGTTCTTAGACGCTCCGTGTAAAGGCATCCGCATTTTTCTTTGCCGGTCGCCGAGATCTTTAGGGTTGCTATTACACTTGTGCGCAGGGACATAACGGACGCGTCGTTATAATTCCGATTGTTAATTCATCAACAAACAACAGAAACATTTCTAACTTTATTTACATTCATAATTATCAATATTTATTTGTAGTAATTAATACAAACGAAAAGTTGATGAAGTTAACATTTCTTAATTTACTAAAATAATTTGATTAAATGATAATTATAATTGAATGATATAATTATATTTTATAAATTTATAATAATAAACAATATTTAAATGCAGACCTTGTATTCAAATTTTTTTAGATTGCTGAAATTCCAGAAGAAATAATAATTTTCAAACCGGCTGTTATCCTGAATTTCAAGTAACCGCTCCTTGAACATAAGCGAGAACAAATATACCGGTCCAAGCTGCTGTACTACCACGAAGGTACTTTTTCAAGGGTTGAATTTTTAAACCTTGAACATCATGTGAGGCCGAGAATCACATGAGAAAGCGAGTGGAAGAGTCCTTGCTTTTATGCGCGTTTTATTTTTCAACTTAGCAAAGGTGCCTGTTTGTGCTTTAACTTGTTCTCCTCCTCTTTCTCATCTTTCCTCTTCGCTCATTGCTTGCATGTGAGTCGTGCAGAATCGATGCAGCAAACCTGTACCTACCTTTCGTCCTTTCTTTATTCGACGCTGTCTACGCGCTATAGCGTAGGGTCAGGGTCGGCTAAAGTACTGCAGAGGCCAATGACCGAAGATGAGCAGCTTTTATCAATTTTATTATTATGTTTTCCTTATATTTGTTGAAAATATTTGCGAATATATTCTTTAATTATTTAATACACGTTACAGTTGAAAAAAATAAACGTTATCAAATATATTAACATTGAATGCGTAGATTGAAATTGTTGACTATCAATATCAAAATATGATTTATTAAAAAATAAAAGAAAACGAACAAATAATTTTAATTACTTACTGTAAAATATTAACAATATGTTATTTTTCGATACATAATAATATTTTCATTTTCATCAATTCATTAAAATCAAAGTTCTTCTATGTCAAAGTTTATTTATTTTCCAAGTTTACATATTTTTCCTTAAATTCTTAACTTTTATAAAAGTATATTTATTCACTTATGTATATATGAAATATATATCTGATTGAACAAATAAAATAACTCATAATTTGAATTATTTCATTTAAAAGTTATCAAATGGAAATACCATGAAATTTATAAAACAAGTCTAGAAAATGATCCTCTGATAAGAATTACAGTGGCGTAAGATTTACTTTTGAAAAAATTGCTTATATTTCAGAAAATTGACTTGCATGAAATACCTTTATATATAAACAAATTTTATTGCATATTTGCAAAAGAAACTGAATTACTTCTAATTCAGTGTTGATTTGAACAATATTCAAAAATATTTTACAGTGGGAATATATTTAATCAATATCATAAAACAATTTTTCTATCAATATTTATTAATCAGCAAATGATTCAAGTATATAAAATTCACATATGAATTTTAATTAATTAACTATATGGGAACTAAAAAATTAATACACAATGATTTACCGTCAAAGAAAATTCTAATCTTCTTAAAAATGAAGAAATTATATTTTTTTACAAACTTCTTTAGGTATTCTAGATTAGTTATACTAAAATTAATAAAAATTATAGGATCATAAGCTTTTACCAATCTTGTATATTTTATGTTATATAATTTATATATATACACCAATTACAATTCAAGGACAGGGATAGTATAGAGATTTTAATAACGAAGAAAACGAAACGTCATATGTTAATATTGCTTTATTAACCAGTTTAAATGGTTAAGTCATATGTTAAACGAAAACTAGTTTTTATTTAAAATCAACGATATTACGCTGTTGTATTTTTATTTAAGTCATAGCGTTAAATGAATTCATATTTAAAAATGAAAAAAAAATTGAAATGATAGAAAATAAGTATTAGAATGATTAATAAATTGCTTAAAATTATGCTGTTCTTTTTTTTATTTTTGCCGAATATAATATTAATAAGTTTAATAGTAGCATTGTTAATGTTACTCAGCAACAATAAATTTATTGATATGACTCATCGCTACATGAAAAGTAAGTACACGAACTATATAGTGTATTTATTTATCTGCTGAGGCAAACAGTATGTTGTTTTATCCTAGTAAAAAAATAATTATTATATTTTCAAGCAACTATAAAATGATAGCAATATAAAACTGCTCACCTCAATATTGAAAAAAATAGTCTTTCAATCGTTTTCTTTTAAATGGTATATATCTTGAGTGCTGATTGTTACAAACACTCACAACAGAAAATGAAATATATTACAGATATAAAAATTTTACTTTATTAGGATGATTTTACTTGTAATCTTCAATTATTTTATTTCATGCAGAAAATTTATACGTTTAATATTACGTAATCAAAGTCTTAATTAAACATATTTACAGAATTCAAAACAAAAAAAGTAACTTACTCAACATTTTTTGAAACTTAAATATCTTATTCGCGATATTTTCACAACACAATCTATGAAGTTTATCTTTGCATACATTTGATTATTAATTTACGAAATATATATAAATTTCAACGGAACGTAGTAAAAAAATACGCGACCTTATCAATGACATTTTTTCGGCGCACGAATATCTGCTACTTCCGCTTATAAAGCACGCCCTACTTCGATCATCAAAAAGCAGACTGTAACAAAACAAATCTCCATTAGTATTCGAAAGGTTGCTAACAACTCTATCACCTGTGAAATTTTAAAAAGCCCGCGCATCAACTGTATACGCTCACGATACAGAGTTCGAGCGTTCGAACGCGCCTATACTCTATAATAAGTCTCGATTATACAGCAGTAAAGAGAGGTGCGCGTTGAACGCAACAAGATATAACTTTCCAACGAGGTGGCTCTTTGCGCATACGAATCAAGACCTGCGCGGAAAGCGCTGCGCGATGTTCGAAAGGCCCGCGCTGAGTCACAGCAGCCGAGAGCAACAAGTTCAAATTCGACCGCTCCACCAAGCGGACGCACAACGTGAAAGAGAGGCGCCCCCAAAAAAACAGGAGTCACTGACTGACTGCCGACGAAACCGCTGAAATGAATCGGAATATCCACAGTTCCCAGTTGAGTCTTGTATTTTTATTGACGCTGTTATTGATTATCGGAGTCGTTGTGGCCGACGATCGAACTTCAGAGAAGTTAGAAACAAATGATGGTGAAATTCGAACGTTCTTCGATTATATTTTCGGCACGGTCAATACAGGAGGCCAACGCACCGGTTAGTTCTTTTTACACTCTTTTTAAAGCTTTTCTTTTTTGCCCTTCTCCCCTTTATTCTCTTATATATATTACACACATAAATTTACTGACATATACTCGAGTCTACCAATAAATTTCATTTTTAATATAATGTCACATGGGTTCGTATGAAACTTATAAAATGTACATGTAACTTATCTTCTCAACAGATTTTATTGTAAAAGTCGTTAGGATTTATAAAAAGTATATCTAGCATTATTTTCTTCTTCTTTTCTCTATTTAACATTTAAAGTTGAATTCAATAATAACTGAAATATAAGGCATTTAAAACTATTTTTTGTTGTTGTCTCTTATCTATTTATTTTCAACAGCGCTTAATATTAACATTTGCATTTTTTATTTTTCATTTACAAGTACTAATTCAACATGAATTTTAATCATTTATTTAATACCAAATATAATTATTGGCTGATGTTCCGAATAGTGATTGAATTGAAAGAAATGAATTAATTATCATTTATAATTCAGTAATTGTCACTTCGGCAAAAGAACGCGAAAGTGTGTTCTAAAAATTTTGACCCGTTTAACCCTGGAGAAAGTTGCGAAAAACCTAGTTAAGTTTATGACGCAGTGTCAAATATATAGTTAATAACGTTACATTAACTCAGCGATAAATTTTGTTCAAACCTATAATTTATCTGACATAAAAAGATATAGTACACGAAACGAAGAATTTGAGTCACGGTAATCTCATTTTTTCGTAGCATTCATTCCACTTTATAACATCATATTAATGATTTTAGAACAGAAAATATCAAATTGGTAAATAATCATTTGAATAATTTATGCGAAACAATTTATTCATAAAATTGTAGATGAAAATAGATAAATCGTACTCAATCTAAATCATGCTTCTTCTTGGTTTCCGTTAAAGGCCTCGTGAAATAAAAAAGAATCATCATAAATTGGCCCTCAGCTACAATGTTATACGCTTTAAAACTTTCATTCGAAATACTTACCGACATTTTCCCGATAATATATACATACTTACAGAAAGGCATTAAGATTGAAAGAAATTAAAAAAGGAATTTCAGTTATTGTAAGCGCGTGCATATATTAGGCAACGAGTTCGGGACTTATAGCGGCGCATTATATTGCGGTGAGTGTAGTGGTCTGTAAGCGTCGTGCGAACACGCGAGCACGTAGTTAAAATGCATGGCAAACAGAGAGGAAGAAAGAGAAAGAGGAGACGACGATCCTATAACATCGTCCCGCTTTTTACGCCTCGATTCTAATACAATACGGTGCTGCTTGTTGTTGCTACTTCTTCAGCTTCCTTTTCTTCCGTTGGATCATGAGCGATACCAAGCAAACTGGTATTTGGGTTAGCATTGTCAACTACAAGTTCGCCAACCGTTACTGTAACGACGCCGACGCTGGCGTGTAACAACAAAAAATTAGAGCTACGAAATAACCTGCTCAGAGCTGCTTATTCGTACTGCACAGTTTAGTTGATATGTGGTGATCTCAGGCACGCAAGCTACGCCCGCAGAGAAAATTAGCCGCGCGCGATCGGTACGTTGAACTTGGCTTTTCGAAACCACCAACGTAAGAGTTAGACAGGTTACATTCGTATTCCTACCTGCCGTTGCTCTCTTATGGGAAAGAGATTTGATGTCAGTGTAATTCGATGCAATCAAGTGAAATTTAGAAGCAGCGCGACGTGGTCTAATCATACGTTGAATTTTACAGTAAGCGTGCGGAATTGAGTTGAAATTGACAGTAGTTTTGCATAATGTCACTTTGACGGCATTTAATATTAAATTAGTTGTCAACGTCAGAAATTGCTTTGCTCTACGCATATTATTTGACGTAGTGCTTTGGGCAGAAGTATATATTTAACGTAGCAATCGTTGATTAATAATTGCAGCAGCATCTGACAATTTCATATGTGACAACGTGACTGACAAAAGCCTTCCACTTAACATAAATTTATTCTGTATAATTACTTCCCATTGTTTTTCGAATAAAGTACTGTAAAAAGTTGCCAACAACATTTCAATTAACATTTCAAATATTTTTATGATAGCAATTCGCTAAGAATAAATATATCAGTATTCATCGCATCAGCATTGCAGCTTCATACTCCAAGGCGCGTAAACCATTCAGAGCATATCTAATCAATGAAATAACGTATATCTGCACACGGAAGTGCAAGTGCATTCTCCGGACGATGTTTCTATTTCCACAATTCATGGTATTCCAGTATAAGTAATAATTAACTAATTTCAAAAAAGAAATGGTGAAAACAAAAAATTATCTCGGTAGTTGTAACTTTTATGGATGTGGAAGCAGACGAGACTGCGTGCGCTTACTGTTTCACATATAATTAATGAATTTCCGGGTATGTAAAAACATGCAAAAGAGAACAATGCGTCGATTGCTCGTTATCGAAATTTATATAATAGAAATTTGAAGAATACACGTTGAATGCAAATAGCGTAATCATTATTCATATTTCTTACAGGAAAAACGCTCCAAACAGGAAGAACTTTTGGCTTCAGAAAGAGAATTCAATTCATGCTAATGCCCTTGGCTTACAAAATGGGCGTGATGATGACCATGTTGGCAGTACTGACAGTGATATCCCTCAAGGGGCTAATGATTGGTAAGCAAAGAAAATTTGACTATCTCTGTTATGATTAGCACATAAACGCAAAAATTTAACGGTATCTGTTATACACACCTTTCCACATCTATTGGTCCGGGCTCGTTATTTGCATACTAAACAAGGACTCGAACGGCTTACTTTCGGTCCCCTCCCATCCAACCGGTGATTCTTCGTGTATTTTCTCTTCGAGCGCGTATGTTGCTTGACGCTCGTGAGCGCATTCTCGATACTACCGATTTGGGCATTCAAATGGCTGCGCCCTACTACTACTCGGACGAATTTCCATGTGGCGCAGGTTCACGCAGCCCTGATCTTATTTCGGAGAATAAAAACAGCTAGAGAATCAACGTCCGGGATAAAAAAAATTGTAATAAAAACTGGATTTAGGAACGACACGACTACGGCGGCTTTCTTTTTTCCAATCCTTTACGTTAAACCTACTTTTGTATGCCCTAGGAAGGAAAAAGAAAAAACGTTTTTGTTCATGTTAAGCAAATTCGTTCTGTTGAAAAATCGTAACAATTGCCTTTCTCAAGTTTTTGTTCTCTAATAAAATCATCCATATAATGTTTCTGGAAAATCACGTCTTAACCTTGTACTCAATCTCACGAGTTGTTACAAGTTTAAAAAAGAAATTTATCGTGAAAATCTAATCTCTCGTAAAAAATTGTTGGGTACACAATCTACATGCTAGAATCTTACGCTATCTTAATCACAAATCAAGATTTTCCACTTACAACGTTAAAAACAACGCTCCTAATTAAATGTGGAATTCGCTTCTTTACACGGAAAAGGAAACAGTGAACGAAATAAGCCCATACATGTACAGAAATACAATGTGCATTATTTGAGAAGCTAATAAATAAATAATTCGTCACACTTCCTTCCGTCGCTTTCAACTATAATTTGAAACTCTTCGATAGCGTTGGTTAATATTGGATGTGCGCCGGAAACGTTAAAATGTATTGCGCGTGATGTAAGAACTGTTATTTTTAGCTTTAAAAAGTGAAAAGCAGTTGCACACATTTGCATCTATATTGAATGGCACATTATACTATGAAATTCGCCGGGCATAGGCATAGTTGCAATTCCACATGGAATGTTTGAACGGTACACTAAACATTTGACATTTATGATCCCATACATATGTATACATTTTACAAATGAATCGCAATATCAAAGAACCGACAGTATATAACTTTGAACACGTAGAATTACTACGAAGCCTTCAATAAAAGCAATCCGACCTCCAATAAGCCTCTAAGCCGCGCAGTATCCGCCTTCAAATCGAATCGACCACGAGATGAAATCGTTGCAGCAAACAATCCTCAACTACTGCAATTGTTCCCTTTGGCCCGATCCTCGAGCAAATTATGCTCGTACCTTCTTTATAATGATCTCACGCGTAAGCATACGCTCTTGGCAAGCGATGTTAAACCACGAAAAGACATCTAAAAGCTCAAGTTCCGTTTTGTGGCTACAGGTACTATTCTGCTGGTGTTGAAGCTGAGTGCGATCTTCGGTAAGCTGTACGCCAGTTGGGACCACGCTGGCCACTCGTCCGCAGGCTGGGCGTCACCGCCGCAACCTGTTCACGTGCACGTCCACAATAGCGGCGGCACCGGTGGTTGGAGTAGCCACTTTCAACCTGCCTATGGTGGCTGGGATGCCCCTGCCAGCGGTCCACCTAATGAACATTACTATTACAAAGGATAATCTTGGAGTGGAGATGCCTTTGAAATAGCGATCTAACGCTTAGAGATTTATCGTGCATAGCAATGTTGATTTTCGATCATATCGTGAAATATTTATATCGCAATGTGCGCCTATCCTGACTTTGTTTGACTGCCATTTGTCTTATATTTATTGTGTGCCGAGAGAATGTATTTATTGACAATCTGACACTTTGAGGAAGGCGATAGCAATGTATACGATATGATCGACAATTACCGTAGCGTTAGATAAAGCAAATTTAGCTAACGCCAATGATGATCTGTGATCGAATATAGCTTCATTGACATTCGATTTAAAAAGAAACACGAAAAATTGCGATTATGAAAGTATCAATTTTCAATACTTGAAAGTCAGTAAGCGAAAAATATGTTAATGAAGTGAATGTATGAAATCAAAAATATCGATATTCAAAAGAACCTGAAAATTGTCATTAATTTTAAAAAACTTGAGTGATTAAACCAAACTTAAAATAATGACACGATGTCTGTACTCAAATTTAAATGTACCGGGTACGACATTAAAGTTACAGTCATTTTACGCAGCCATACAATTTGAAACTATTTTTTATTAATGATAGACTCATATGATGTCGAATTTCGACGATTTTCAATAATTTAGAAAACAGTTAATATCTCTCTAACACACAATATGTTTTACTGAGAAGCAACTATTAACGTCATGTTAAGAAATTTATTGTACATAACTAAAAGCATTACATGACTACAATATATTACGTTTTGCGCACAATGTGGGTATGCACGTTGCGAATTCGTATGTGCTTTTCTAATAAGTACATGAGCAATTAATATGTAATATACAAATACAAGTCAGAAGAAGTTGGTCATAAATGCAGTATTACATTAAAGACTTTTGTAGTGATCGAATAATTATTTGGTGTACATTATTTCGCATAAGAAATGAGCAAATTAGTAATTACAATGAAAAAATTCTATATTAATTTAGATTTTCACCCATCGATATGACACACCTCTCACTCTTCGTTTAATTACAAGCATTCATACGAAAGATTCCATCTCTGATTAAAAATACTTCTGTACATTCATTGATTTATTGATTTTTTTTAATTTGGCACAATTGACTTGTTTGTATAATTGTCTAAAATATTTAATGATACATATTTATTGAATTTACAGGTATTGTCTACATAAAAGCATGGATCGTTTCGAAGTTTGTTATATTTTATATTATTCTTTTTTCACATTCTTGATGAGGTCCTAAATAATTAGAATTTGATAACTTTGAAACTTGTACTTAATTTATACTCCAAGACATATCCGCGTCAGTCAGTAAACTAAAGGGAACATTTCAAAGTATCATAAACTACTTGATTGCACGGAAGTTGAGCCGTTTCACGCGTGTATAATGTATCTCTTTCTCTGTAGGTATTAAGAATACCTCATTAACGCAAGTGTAATTTTATGCTTTCTAAATACTTTCTTACGAACACAACATCAACCATTTCCAATTAACTCGGCGTCATTTCAACTCGCGCAAAATGCTCTATCAGTTTCATGTATCGATTTAACAAATGTAACATTTAACACCAATGCCGGACAATTCTACGTGATTGTAGAAATAATTATGGCCTCAGATCAACGTTGTAAGAACGTTAAAAATGAAATATTACGGCAAGCGTGTTAATTAGTAAAATATCTCACTTTAATTTATTAATTTTTAAATTAAATTATCACTTTGGTAATACTAAAACATTATTTATTATTGATTTATTTGTAAATTTTTATAATTTGATTTGTGTCAGCAGAAAATGATAAATGATATTGAAAGATAATTTATGGCGTCCTTTTACTCATTTGTAATTGCAATATACAATTATACGTTGAGAGTGGCACAGTCGATTCGGAGAAACTGATCTAGATCGCTGTAGGATTGACATGGAATTTTTTGTTAAAATATCTCAATTTTTATTATTCTTTTTTGTTCGTAGCTCGACCTCGTACACTTATTTAAATTGTAGAGAAGAGGAGCACCATAAAATTTGTTGATGGCGTTTTGCCGCAAAAGCATAGTGCGCAAGCTGAAAATGCTAATTGTCATAATTGTGCATAGTCCATTTAGCGGCAGAACGGCATCGGTGCATGTATATGGCTTCGCGTGTCTGTTCTCAATTCGAAGCCAGTAATCAATTTTGTTTTTCACATGCGTCTGGGATACACGTGCGTTACTGACCGCTGACCAGCCGAGAAATAATTGTCAGGCGAATCTACCAGTGCGAGAAAAGGCCTTAGATGAATCAAATCGGCGCCGCGTTAGAATTCGAGCGCAGATTCCACGGATATGTCGACGAATAAATCGGATCTAGCTTACTGTAGCGATTTATGAGAAACCAACAGACGACTGCATTATGCAAGACAATGGGTGGAGCTGGATACAAGCTTTGCCGTCAAGCTTGGCCAGCCATCCCAGGAACCGGCTGGGACATTAATGCACAACTTTCTTTCGGTCTGTATCGGGATGTGAAATAAATAGCAATCTCGGCGAGACCCAGTTAGAGGTACGATCGAGTTGCTCGGACTGCGCCAGAGAAGCGGAGGGGGGAGCTTCCGTCTGGTGCCGCATGTTGCATCGGGAAAAAGAGGAAATTCTTGCCGCCACCGCCGCCGCCGCACGTTGCTCAATCCTGGATCGTAGAGAGGCCGACGCAGTTTAAACTCGTAGCGCGGATTCGTTATACATTTCGCGGCGGCTTAGGCAGCTCAACAAGCGGTAGCCGCATTCACGAGTGTTGGTTTACCGGATGGTTTGAAGCTCAATATTTAACCGCGCACGAGTGCTCAAACATTTGGTGGAAATAAAAACACTAGAGAGACAAACGGAGAGCTTGGAAGCACTCGACAAACTGTGATCTGTCTACACCGACCGCGTGTGATTTGTCATGATCACGGCCACTCGAACGTGAAATTTGTCGCGATCGGCAAGTTGAAAAAGTGGAAGTGAGCAGATTTGACGGTTTGTTTGAAAATAGCGCGCGCGGATGCCGCTTGTACTGTTATAGCCCGCGGGCTATCCGACGAGCAACACCGATTCGATCGGACTGAGGAAGTATGAATGGCGCGGAATTGGTGTTGTACTGCATCATCGGATGGTGCCTGCTTTTGAATCCGGAGGCTTCGCCGCATAACGATTCGGATGAAAGTAAACGAAATAGGTCAGACAGTACCGTCAGTGAGGATTCCGCGAGTCTGTTCTCGTTCGAGCCTATCGATGGATTCAAGGTCGTCTTTGACGAGAAAGAGCTATCTTTCCATTATGATCCAATTGGCAAAACAGGTAAAAGCTACTTGCTTGTCTATAATATTTTTAATTACGAGCATATTATTCATGAATGCACTGGAATTCGACCTCCAATATTAAGTAGTTCAATAGAATCATTCGAGTTTCATTTAAATAATTCATATCGCATGCTTTCTTTATTTAGTCGGTTAACGCTGTCTTATCTTTCAAATAACATTCTGTAAAGTCAGAAATATCAAATAAAATGAAGATTCTATGACTTACGGTCACAATAAAATAAACTTTCCAGTAGTTTATTACTATCAGAATCTAGTTTAATATATCCGCTAATAAAACTGAGAAATACATGAGAAAGAAGTTAAATACGTATTATTTTTAAATAATTGAATAAATTTTCAAACCTCTTATTCATGAACGAATGCATCTTTCTAATCATAATTAAATAATACTTGCACCGATTAATTGATATTCAAATTAATTAATCGATTTGCTGAATGTTTTAGTTAATGAATTTATTGAATTCAATAGTGTAAGCTATTCATATTACAATTGATTTTCTACTAAAACTTTAATACAAGTATAGTGAATGTATAGTAGTTATAGCTTTCCAATTAAGTAAAATCAGATATTAATGCTTGAATTGAAAATTTGATCATCTTATATCTCCATTTCTCTTTCAGCAAACTCTGTTGAAGCCAGAGGAAAGGATGAAAAATCAAAACGACGAAATATTATGAAAAAAATTGGAAGATTTTTAATGATGATACCCGTGGGATTTCAGGTAAAAATATTATAAAATTTCTTGTCTAAAAAAATATTGATGGGAATTTTTTGTTCTTAATTATTTTACATCAATTACTACTACGCAATAGTTATCAGCTATATTCGGAATTATCATTCTTTTGTAATACATGTTATTTAATTACATGTCATTATATTCAACGCAACTATAAAATGAGTACATTTTACATAACTATTTCACATGTTGATATATTTATATTTTAGTATTATATTTTTGTTTTATATTTTGGTATATTTACATGTTCGTTTATTTATATTTATATTTTAGTTACTGCAGATACCGTTCGCTATTGCATCTGTAAAAATGTCTTTAATCAGGAGTATATTAGTGGCAAAAGTTGCTCTATTTATGCTGCTCATCCGTGTCTTATTTACACCTAAACCTCAGGAGAAAATTGTAATCGTCAAACCACCGAAGGAATATCACGAGCATTATTATCATCATCATCCGTATAACGAACCTGAAGATAACAAACCCGGGTGGTTTGGAAAAGGCCCATCATGGTTATACTAAATTCTTTATATTTTGAATGATTTGACACTATCATACAAAAATTATTTGAATTTTTTTTATTTCAAATGTTCAATCATGAATTTGGAGAATCTATTTTACTCTATGACAATTTATTTCCACCGAACATTGAACGAGACAAATTGCCAAAATTTTAAAAGTTGTGATTTGGTGTCATTAGTGATATCGACTTTGTAGACTTAAAAGAAATTAGATTAATAGATTAAATATTTATTTATTTACTTACATTTATATTTTATTTTTTGCTTTTTATTTATTTAATTAATTGTTATTTTTATTACTTTTTTATAACAAAGAAACGAAACTTATCAATTGGAATGTTTGGTCTATATATTATTATTAATAATAAAATTATTTGTAAGCTTGCAATTCATTGTTAATATAATTGTGATCTCTTTTTATATTATTATTGTATAAAATACTTAACCACTGAATGTTACGGCAGAATTTAACTTTATCGACAAAACCTAGCTTACCATTTGTGTTGCAGAGCTACAAAAGGATATATCTTACTAGAATGTTTTAAAGTAACGTTAAAACTTTTATAAGATTAATTTACGCGTGATAATATATAAATAATAATTGAATTAATCAAATTGATGACTTATAATTTATTAATTTCAGTCGTAGCGCAACAGTTAATATTACCTGAATTAACAATACAAAAATTTGACTTTAAAATATCATGAACGAAGTCTAATTATGTTTAGTTATAAATAATTATTAAATAAGAAAGATTTTAAATAATGATATATTATCTATTCATCAAGATATTACCGATCAGAGGCAAAGCATCCATGTTTATCGATTTTACATAATGTTCGATCGATCAGTAGTGATGAAAGAATCAATTTCCTAAAAGCATCTTCGATATACGTGCCGTATCCTAGCAGTAACTCAGAAACGTCATATTTCTCTCAAGAATAAATTGGAACCGCCAGCTCTTATATATAGAATGCCTTTCTCATTAAGCGATTTTTCGCTTGCATCAGCTGGACAGGTTTGTCGATCGCCAAAATTAAAAAAAAGTTTCATTACCGCGTGAAAGGAGGAATTGAATTTAGCCGCAACTATGAGATCCCCGATCATTGACAATATATAGTCTAAACAATAAGACTCAAAGTTATTGGACGTATTTCATAGGCAGAACACACACTGCTCGTCGCCGATCCCATTATGGCGAAGTCGAGCGAGCGAACGAGCGAGCGCCCGCGACACTTGGCCTACTTTTGGCAGCGCGGCGACTTGCTAACGGCATTTCGGTCCAGATCCTTGGCGGGCAGAAGGACAAAAAAAAATGAAAAAAATAAAAGAAAGGGGGCAACGGAAGCCCATACCGAATAAAACGGCAGCGGTTTCTCTTTCGTTAAAGTGCAGACTCGCTGCCTCTGCTGTTGAAATCGAAATGCATTTCCTCGGTCTGCCTCGAGCTGCCGTGCGCGAGCCGTGCACTTGCGCGCAATCGCGAGATGAATGTCTTTCGCCGCATGATTAACGATTCCCTCTCGCGCGCTCGCCGTACATTCATCGGGCGCGCATCGTCGCGATAGTCGCGATGGGTTTTCGCGGTTCCGCGTGGACGTGAGGCTATGCGCGCGTCATACTTCGCGCACGGGAAACCCATTGTTATTGGCGACGCGCGAGAGAGGCGCCTCTCCTTCTCTGACGCAGCGACTATTTTTCGTGTCGCCTCGCCAAGTAATTCGAGTTATCTCTGCTATGCGAAAGCTCAGTGTGATTCTCAGCACGCCAGTTCCGATCGGTTGCGAGCGCTTGGGCAGGCGTGTTTTTGAGCGAAGCGCTCTCGTTAGCGTCACACGCGCAATTGCCAGCGGCTGAAAACGACGACGAGCTCTTTCTTTTTTCGCAACGTGCATCTTCTGTCTGTCGAGACCAAGCTGGCAGACAATGCGTCATTAAATTTTAAGAGGTGCATTATTTCGTTCTAATATTGATATTTCGTGTATACCTCGACGCTGTTTTGTGATTAACTTGACATTCTAGCTGACGCATTTGGAGACTTGATTGTTTTCTTGCAAACAAGTTATTTTTCACCTGCAAGTAGAATAGAGAAAGTAATAATACTTGCGACACATTATGCATTGGGCGTATGATCCAGAAAGCCGGCTTCCGCGTACACTGCATTTAAGCATTCGGCAATCGAACGTATCCCGATTTGTATACACCAGTTGAATACCAAACGACCGGCCAGCATTCTCTAAAACTAGCCGAAAGCATTATTATCCGGCAGGAGATATCTTCATTACGCTGTCACGCGGAGCCGCGTGCCTCCACTCTGGTATACGAAAGTTTCCGAAATACCTCGAGCTGTGCACCGCTAACACAAAAAACGTGACTGGCATCATCGTCTCAGAAAAAAAGGGGGAAGCTCATCGAACAATCGAAATGCAAATTTCTTCGGGCGCACGCCCGCAAATTAAACGATCAGTCGCTTCTTGGCGCCGTTTTCTTTGCGTCTCCAAGACAATACTCCGCCAAGAATGTGTGTACTCCATTACGAAGATTGATGTACTGCCGTTTTTATAAAGTCTCTATCGTGCTGTTGTCTGCAACGGTAATCGTTTAAGCGACTTTTGTCAATAGTATAGATAGTTCTGTTTTTCATCGAGATTTCTTCGAGATAATGTTATTGCGTTTTTCAGCACAACGATAATTTATCATTCGATTGGATTTAATCGGTCGACTTGTTGGAGCATAAGTAAATGCGACTCTCTGATAGATTGCCAGCCGTCGATTGTCTACCCGAGAGAAACAAATTCCAAGCATTTCGCTAAAATCTGAAAAAAAAAAAGGACAAACAGCGCGGTGCCGTGAGCTTGACGATATCGATCGAAATGCCAGTCTCGCGCGTTTCTGCTCCTGCGCCTGGCGAGAGGTGGAAAAGCATCGAACTAGCGGCGAAGCAGCAGCAAGAACTGCAGTCACAGTAGCACGCGATCCGCGCGACGGATAAACGGAGACAAAACGAAGTTGCAGAAGCCGCGGCTTGCGCGCGCGTTACGCAAGCGCACGAAGCCGTAAAGCTTCTTTCGGATGGCGAAGAGCGTCGACAAATGAAGGCACCTTGCACCTCGCGCCTCATAGAATAGTTTATAGCGTACATGCGCTCGTTCGCGAGAGAGAGAAAAGTATCTGCAAGTGAAGATCGCGGCTTCGTGTAGTACTGTTTTTGCGCGCGCGCTCGTATATCTCGCATCTATAAAGCCTCTCTTCATTCTCTCTCTCTCTCTCTCGCTCGCCAAGTACACTTTATTGACATTAAGGCGCGCACATTGTGCGCGACCCTCCCTGTGCACGTGAGATAGAGAGAGAGAGAGAGAGAAAGAGCGCGCGTTTTACACGCGAGAGACTGTATTTATTGCCCAGCCCTTTTTTTCTCCTGCACGACTTATTTATACTGGCACCAACGTGTGCGCTGGATAAAAGGTCGTCCTGATTATGCAGCGCCACGGAGAGAGCAAAAGACAAATTCCCATGAACTGCCGTTTGCGCGCGTTTCGTTTATTCAATTGCGCCGTATCCATTGAAGAAAGTACACACAGTCGCGCGCCATAGGAAGCATACGGCCTGTTTTATTGTATATCAATATTATAAGTTATTTATCGTGCCGGTGGATCAAACAGATCTGGATGCTGATTACTGCGCGCTCCGCTAATGAATAACGCTCTTATAGATTTTCAGTTGCATTTTCCCAAAGACCTCTCACCGCCTAGGCTGCCGTGTGCCATTAGCCGTTGCGAATGGCGTACATCATTGTTTTTCCAATGGATAGACACGCGGACAGAAAAAATCTTATTCGTTATTTACACTATCTGGGTTATTGTAGAAAGGTTGCTTAGACTTGTTTCAAGCTCGCTGCAAAGGTGCAAAATTTTTACTACGCACACACATCGCGGACCGAATGTTCTATACGAGGGGGTAATAGCGCGTAAGTCGCTTAAATTCGACGTTGCTTGGTTCTCTTCGCGGTGGAAATGTCACCAAACAACGGGCAGACTCTCTTGACCAGGATAATTTGCAGCACTTTCACTTATTTGTTGCCTATCTATATGGCTATTCACAACTGTTGCATGTAATTAAGTAGGCTAATTTTCTCATCGACCGTTGCGAGGTGTGTTGTTTTTAACCTGTTATTTCGCATCGCCTTTTACGTTTTGCTTTCTTCTCAGCACATAGCGAGAGAAATGCAAACCTTAAAAATCAAAAGTCAATTAGCTTTGTTATGCCGGAGATTATCGGTGAAATGTCTAGTGGGACACTCGAGATCTCTTATGTATGCTAACGTCTAACGAGACTTGCTAATTAATAACGAAACTACGATGCATCCGGGGTAGAGCTATTATTGAATTATTATTTCTTTGTCTCGTACAAATTGACTTGGCTGCGTTACGGCAAAAACAATGCGCGCGCACGTTTTATCGCCGATTTATAAGCTGATCTCGATCTAATTTTATAATCTACACAACACTACTCTGCACAAAATATTTACCGGCAATCAAATACTTGCGAAACGAACAATTGTAAGAGAAACGCGCTATAGACCTACTTGTTTTAATTATAAATGTACAAACTTGATTTAAATCCAATAAAGCATTCTCTATCTACACTGCTAGATGTTTCTTTTCATCCGACAGTTTCAATTCATTCGCAATGCTTCGTGCGCTATTTATCTGCTGATTTTATCAAAGCGAGCCGCGAAGATTTCATCGGAAATCCATAAACTGTCAAAAAAGGCTCGACACACGTGTTGAGAAATGCATTTGTCTCCCTCATAAACAATAGATTGGCTGCGCGGGGAATATATGTGAAAGCAATGACCAGCGGAGGGAGGTTTCTCTTATATCAACCATTATTGAATAAGACGGCTGCCTTTCGTGAGTTACATCACTGTAGGACTTCGCACAGGATAGCTCTCTCAGTTTTGCTGCGCTCTTCGACATATGCGAATCTCCCTGCGCGACGTCGTTTCCCTACTCACAGTGAGTTTTTCTGTGCGATTGTGCGACGTTTCTAACAACAGATTCTCAGAGTATGCATTTTTTTTTCATTGCAAGTATTTTTTTTTTCAGATGATTCTTGTGAAGTCCGTGTCTTTGTGGTGTTTTGTCGTGGGTGTTTGTATTTTCACCGATGCGCAAAATGTGACGGAAAATGAAATTAGACCTTACGAGTTTACGTTTAACATAGTCGATTTTCAACATAGATCTGAAAAAAAAGGTAAATAACATTTTTTTATTTTACAAAAGCAGTGCGTAGCGTCCACGTGAAGAATTGAATGGTAAAACAAAATTCCTGTTCCATAATCATTTGTATTATTCCCATTTGCTTAATATTATGGAAGCACTGATGATGTTTCTTTTTTTTAATTATTTGTACTTCGACAGAATATTTATTTTTTAGTCACATTTAAAAATGAAAATATGCTACCACATACGCGAATTACAAAACGTTTCACAGTATTTTAATGAAATGTTCGAGTATTTTAGGACATTTTTTGTGACAAATTTTGGTCTCTATATCCCAAATCTTCTTTGAAGAATTATGAAGAATACTTTTAAATAAATTACGTCATAAAGCGAATACGTGAAATTTAAAAAGCCATTTTTATAAATTTTTACCAGTAGCACAAATATTTGTATTCTGTATGAAAATTATAAGCGAACGTATAATCGCAACGCGTATTACATGTTTTGAAAAAATTCTTCAATTTCTCAATCAAGTAACAATGCATTCATACCTTTCATTATAGATGACAATGGTCTTATTACCGGGGAGTATGGATTTATAACTGCAGATGGTATTTACCATGAAACTGCATACGCGACTGATGAATCTGGAGATTTCATCATAACAAAAATGAGACATCGCAGAATAACCAGTTGTACGTATTTTAATATAATTACTTTATTCGTAAGACAAATATTTGCCCATATTAGTAATTTTTTTTTTTTTTTTTTGAAAAAAGTAAAAGATGCACAAGAAATTTTCAAAGATAGACCAGCACAGGCAAAAATGCTCACCGAAGCTCTGATGAAATCGTGCACGGGATGTGACACTTCCGAGTTGGACAGACAAGAAACGTCTTCTTTCGTAAAACCTGAAACAACAACAACGACAACTACATCAACAACGACAACAACGGAGGCTCCTGCACCCGTATACATAAGACCAGAATACAGCGCAGAGAAAAAATTAGATCTGGCAATGAAAGAAATGATGAGGATTCTTAATTTAAATAAGATAGCCGACGTTACGACAGGTAAAAAATTTCATATTTAGCATTGCCGCCACATTGTTTACTAATAATATTTATTGTTTCCTTGATTTTACGTAATGAGCATTACATATATGTTATTTAATTTTATTTGCGTCTCTCGATATTTAGTCAGCCATTAAATTTTATACCCGCTATAAATAATTAGAAATTCATAGAACGCGAAGGCGTTTCTTCTCTGCAAAAGAAAAGTCGTGTTCGTGTTCTTATTATAAAAAGAGTTCCTTACAAGAAGGAACACATAACTCGTTCGAATAATTACAGCGTAATATCATATTAATGTCGATCATGACTTATTAGTCTTCAACTAAGACGCTAAGCTAATGCTATTCACTTTTTCAATTGTAGACAATGCCGAGGATAAATTTTCCCGCAAGGAAAAGAAATTACCTGCTCTCTCGTACCGATCAGGAAAGGAGGTGAACCCGTCTATCAGCAACACGACAAACGAGATTATTCGTGACATGGTCGATGCCGCAAAAAAGGTCTTGGAGAACGACGGTCCTGAAAATGAAAGGGAGGAATCGACAAGCGACGAGGCGCTCGAGAAAATGGCGAACGATTTGTTCTACCGATTTAACTATACAATTACTTCTCACGGCCATCGCGAGGATGGGTTTCGTGACGGTAGAAAGGACGGCGAGTACAATGCTAAATTCAAGGAAGGAATTGACACACACGTTAAGTATGTATCGAATGAGTTCGGTCATCAGCCTAACATTACTTTGGTTCCTCGGTATGAAATTGAAATTGAACGCAACGAGGATGAAGATAACAGCACTGCTACACGAGAAACACCTTATCAAGCCCATTATTTCAATTGGTTTAAAAAATAACTTCAATTACTAATAATATACACATACTTTTAGCTATATTTTCAATCTAATTATCTTTCTTCTAGTTTCGATACTTCGAGTATTGATAGATATAATTGTTGTTATTAAGTATTTAGTTCATAATTTATCATTGTATTAAAATCGCTCTCTGCATAAAAGCAAAAAGCATACATTCTAAAAAATATTTTTGGAAAATATATAAAATCTGTACTATGAAGAATACAGTATGATTCTAATAAGATACACGTGTTTTCGTACTTTTTTTTATTGCAGCATAGTTTTTAGTTTTAAAAGTTAAAGTGTAATCAAACGCAATGTGTTATAAAATGAAAAATTACCATGATCTTTTGATTAATGATTGTTCTTGAAAGTTTAGATTCATTGTCAGTACAATGTAATAGTTGTAGTCATACATTTCTATAAAAAGAACAGGAGAAAGTTTTTAATAGTTTGCTATTTATTACGTGTGCAAGCTTTGTATTTTAAATTTAAACGAGATTATAAGAAACTGATTTCATTTCATAAATTACAACAACTTATATATCATAAACTATATTTTCATATTAAGTACAAATATTTTATAAATGATTCGTGCGTGTCGACAAAAGACTGCCATTTTGGTTACCAGAAGTCGTACAAAAAAAACTTTAAAGAAACCTTCCTTAAGCTTAATAACAAGGGAAAAAGACTGTCATTTTCGTTGTCAGAAGTCGTACAAAAAAACTACGAAAACCTTTGTTTAACTTAATGAGAAGGGAAAATGATGTTTTCATTACGAAACTACTGAAGAATCAAAGTGACCTAAGCACATAACTCACAGCATAAAACAACGGATGTCACGAGGAAATCAGGTAACGAGTAAAATTTCTCTGGTAAGCAAACTTTCGTAAATACATTCGCCAAGAAAAAGCGCAAATGCGAAATAATAGGAGAAATAAACATATTGCTCAGAATTTATAATGCAACATTATTGAACTTTTCGAAAAACGAATAAATGCGAAATTGTTTTAAGATATTATAATTTTAATTACTAACAGGTGAGAACGTACTATTCAAATATCAATGCAATATCTTAAAATGTTGATGCTGCTAATTAAGTAGAAAATTTCTCGGTGTAACAACCTATAATGTTTTTTTATCCAATATCCAATTGTCTAATAAATAATTAATAACTCGATTTTACGTGACATTTCCCTCGGATAGCAGTGCCCAAGTGAAAGTATCGAATACGCTGTATCAACTTAATTTATGAATTGTATTATCATTTGAGGATACGAGAGATGAGTATCCAAAGGTATGTTAATTTTATATCGTAATTTACATCAATCACCGAGACGTCATTGCAAATAAAACTGCGACTTTTCAAAATTATTAATAAGATTTTAAATTTTTATCTTCAAACAAACGAATTCTCTAACGTCCTTGTTTTAAAATAAGATTTTCATATTGAACACAAATTATTAAAAATAAAATTTTCAAAGCAATTTGAAGCAATAATTTTGAGAAATTTATAAAAACCTAATAAATTATTGAAAGAAATTTTTTTGGATAAAGTCAAAAGTACTTTTTAAAAGAAAGTATTCTTTTTGGTATTCGACAATTATTCACATTACTGTATAAAATAATTTGATCACCTGTAAATAAAGTTTTTTTAATTATTCTTATTATTATCTAAATGAATCATACAAATAAAATTATGGTGACCATGAGAAACTTTCACCATTCTAAAAGTAATATACCTGGTCAAGCTAAAGTAATATAAAGAAATAAATTTATTATATGTTTACCAGCACCTTTTTAGAAAACGATGTTCACCGCACATTTTTCTGAATGCACATACGACGCTTCCAGCATACGGCAAAGGTATGCATAACAAGGCACTGCAGGTGCATGAAATTTAAACAAAGCTCTTATGCAGCCACGGTGGTATAATAACTTGCGAAATTTACAAGCAGATCAGCGCACTCTCGACTTTCACACTGTTGTCCCAGACAGCATCGATTAGCCGTCAATGAATTTCACCGTAAGGGCCTTAAGTCGTGGAGGAAAAAAAAAAAGAAAAGTGGGCCCGTACAGCAAAGCGGCGCATCCCCGCACACTTGTAAGGTGGGAGAAAAAAGCCGGACAGTTGATTGGTCGCGGGCTCGCATGTGTTCGGGCACTGCAACCACCTGAAGCGCGCGCGCGAGAGAGAGAGGTGTCGTATAAAAAAAAGGGGGCAGAGACTCGTGTGTGCGGTTTCGCGGTGCGTGCTGTCAGAAAGTCGCGTGAGACCGACCGAGCTTGTTCACTCTTCTTCCAACACTGACATAGCCATGAGGTGGAACAACATCATTTCGATTGTTCTTGCACTTGTGCTGGCTTCGTCGAGGACCAGCTTCGCCGAGCAACTTCAACAACGGCAGGAAAATGAAAATAAAGGAAGCATTATCGATTGCCTTTTCGAAACTAACGCAGTGACGTGTGCGAATAAAAAGATGGCTAAGGAGATTGACCGAATTGAGTTTGAGGTAACTGGAAGGACCAGTGAGATGCCCATTAGCAAGGTCATCGAAGAAAGTGGAAGTTTGATTGCTGATGATTTGCAAGCTGTTTTTGGTCCCGAGGAGGATGATAGTACTGTCTCCGAGGAAACTGGTGTTGGTGAGTGTGCTTGTTTACAAAATCGCGAATGAGCATCTTTTATTTTCGCTGAAAAGAAAACCTTTTTCGTTAACTCAAATGGCTATAACTGTTTGTACTTTTAAAATTATTTTCTTAGTTTTGCCGTCGTTTTCAGAGGATAAAAATAAAATAACGGTACTCGATCAATTACGGTTGGTTTAACGCATGACATTCATCTCGTGATTTCAGTGAAAAGTTTTTTTGAAAAAAAAGTCATCGCTAGCAATTCTCTTTAAACTTGAATAAGTAGCTTCATTAGCGCCCAACGCGGAAATGGAAAAGACATAAAAATAGGATAATATTATTGATCTCAAGTGATTGTTGTACACGAAATATCAGTGGCTTATACTGTACATACCGTAAAGAATACAGCGACTACCAAAAACTAGAGCCATCTAGAGATAACGAGGCACCAAATGCTCAGTAGGCTCTTACATTGCACTTTTTTTTTCACGACTTAATTAAATTCTTAATAAGTTCGAGCTTACGAGTCAATGGCAAAACTGTTATTTTTCTAACAGTTCGCAGCTCATTTTTGTTTCACGTTTCACGACTTTTGTTTTACGTGTGCACATATACACATGTATGCTTAGAAACGAATTTATCACGCACGTAGCATCAGATAACAATTTTTTCGGCCAATCAACTTGTGCACATCTTGATTTTTTCGGTTCACTGCATGTGCTGTCGCATTCGTTTATTAAGTTTATCAAGGGTAACCTACATCAAGTCTCTCAAGCAATTAAGTTGTCGAAATTATTACAAGCAATTATACGTGCTGCCTTAAAAGTAAATTAATCAAAGGTTCTGTAGTACTCTATAAGGATTAGCTCGCGAGCTCGCGTAATTTATTTTACATTCGAAATGAATTCTAGTTTTCGAGCGAAATAAAATGCATGTTAGCTAAAAGTAAAGCAAAAAACTGTAAATCATAAATGGCAATAATGTTAAGGCATTATATATTCGATGTAATGATATGTCTAGTAGTTACGAGGTCTGATTTTTCAAGTGCGACGACGGCAGCATTGCCGCCATGCCCAGACAAATTGGTAACGGAATGAAGCTATAAGCGCGACGTACTTTTGAATTTGGCGCGCGTGCGCGCCTGTGAAACGAGCCTCATCCGCCCACTACAGCACACGCGTCGATCGGTACACAAATTGTGTTTTGATGTCAACGGTCATATACATTTAAGCGTGGCTTGGCTATATATTACGATAAATTCAACCTAACGGTCACCTCGTCGCGTTGTCCTTCTCGAATTGATGAGCTCGAGTTCTGTACGCGCCTCTGTTTGCCCCCCCCCCCCTCCAACCCGTCTTTTCTCAACGATGCGCTTACTTCGTTGCAACGTTCAGGCCGATTTCGCAACTTCAAATGTACATCCAATGAAAGCTCTCCGGAGAAAAAAAAGGCGTAAATAGATTTGGTTGGATGAAGGTCTTTAACGAAAGGGGAAGCACGCCTAATAATTCAGTGGTATTTGAAGTCTTTCAATTGTTTACGCTTCCCATCTCAATCTTCTGGTCCGGCGATGGAAGCATTTCTTGTTCTTTGTTGTTCCATTCGATTACGTTAATGAATTAAAAAGTCATTGTCGTGGAAACGATCATTCAAATTTGAAATGAAAAAGCGCAGGTTAAGAAATTTTCACCGCGGCACAAATGCAGAGTGGAATTCGCTTCTCGCTTGTTTACAATGAAGATGCACACTTTTTCGCGCACGTATCGAGTGCTTACTTTTCTTTTGTTCACTTGTCTCGATGCCGCTAAACATATGCGCGCGCGCGAAAGTGCGAATATTCGCTAAGCGGGAATGAGGGTCAGCGCACGGGTGGTGGCCAATCTTGAGAACGAGAACTCGAATTTCGGGAAGTCCAGGTTATACGGGACAGAGTGAGTAATTGTGATTCGAAGAAACTCGCAAGGAATGGGATCACGCACTTTTAATCAAGCGTGAAGAAATCCTTTAGAACAATGAAGCGCGTAGTGGATATGTCAGTTACGAAATTGTAACGGCTAATATAAAGATTGTATTCAATAAAGAACATTTTAAAGCTTAATTTCGATGTTTGGACAAATGTAGTCTCAGAGATGATCATTTTTTTATGGCACAATCGCTTTCAGCTAAGTCTAATTTTGGTTATCGTTGAAAGAGCATTTCGAACATTGAGTATAAAAACTTGCTAAAGGAGTATGTGACACTGATGTAATAAGCCAATGAACTCGAGTATTCTTCTTATTTGTCTATGATTCAGGAATGTGATTCCTTAAAATGTTTACAACGCGACAGTCATGAAATATAGGACCGGATACAGAAGAACTTTGAATCATAAAATTCATGAATATCGATATGCAAATAACACGAAAGATTTTTGTTCTACATACTCCACATCTACCTATACATCAGCAATGAATCGCACAATGTAGGTGCGATCTTTGTAGGTGTCATTACACGGAAAGTATAGTAATCGATAGAGCGCGATATAATAACTTTAATTGGCGATGAACCTTTACTGTGCGAGTACGATTAAACGATTAATAGAACAGCGAGCTATTTACAAGACAAAGCTCTCATCCTCTATGAATTGGATGATTATTCGTGATTGCACTTTGTATGTAAAAATCGTAACACAGAAGGTAATAAAGTGCTTAATGACGCGAAGTAAGGATAAGAGAGAGTAAAAAAATGCATGCCCTCTCGAAAGTGGAAAAATGGATTTCAAGGTCAATGCGAATGTGTGCGCTGTGTCCAAAGCGAAGTTTATTAAAGATCCGAAGAACGTGAACATCTGCTTGGCGCGCTTAAGAAATAATTTACCGACGTTCTCTCGTTTCGCTTGCCCATCAGCGGCTCCCCTTCCTTAAAGTGTTTCGCTGAAAGTTTCATCGTTATTCGCGCCTCGGCTACCTTGCACAATGTCCAAGGAAAGTAAAGTGTAGCTGCACACGTCACTCCATAATATTTCATTGAAAAAAAAAAAAAACAACTTTTCCACGAATTAATTTCCACGATCTCATGGAAATTAGAAAAAATCGATGGACTCTAATTGAATTGACTCAAGGTCAATTGAAGTTGAAGTACGGTCAATTTTGCGCAAAAAGATCATTCGATCGTTCAAAGCTGTTCTAATTTTCCAAAGACTATTATCTTGGAACGCATACGTGCCACTCTTACGTGTCTAATAAATTCACCATTGAACGATCCCACTTAGCTAAATTATGCAAATGGGGAAAAGTAGTCTGCGTATCGTATATGCACAGCGTACTATGCGAGTGGTGAATTTGGTAACGGATTCACACAATAGCTGTTCTTGACGAGCAGTCTTTTGTTATGCAGACACGTGCGCCACGTTCAAGAAACGAATATTCATGGAGGAGATCGCACGTCAAGTCTATGGAATACGTAGATTACCAGCATAAAACTTCACTTCGATCGTTCTTTATTTTTTTTTTCAGGAAATTAAAAAATAATACACCCCCGCGGTCTTTTTTGGTTTTCGGGAATTACAATAACGCGCAAGCTCTAATAAAGCTGTGACCGGGTACATGTAAATGGACCATCTAAAGTAGCTGGATATAGAAATATATTCTATCGTATAGACATTAATATTTGAATTTTTTAAATGGAGATGTAGAATTTTTCGTGTAGCGCTAACAATAATGGCAATAGCGCATTTTTCCGGCTTCCAAAAGGAGGAAGTTCTGTGTTCGACCTAAATTTCTTTTATGTATATTTGCCCATATTTGTAGAACGGTTTAACTCATTTTATTATAGCTAAGCTCATTTTGAAAGTTACGCTTCCGCTTCATCGTTGACCGGATCGAAGTATAACTTTGCCATAATTGCAAAAAAAATTAAGTCGGCTTATTTCTCTAAAAATTAATCTCGTAGAAATTAATTAGAACATACGTCAAATATTTCTATCATAAAATTCTATTTGTTATAAGCTTTGATAGATACAAACACCTATATATTATTACATCAAAAATGCATGGCTCGAATGCGTCACTTTTCTCCTTTCATCATTATCGTCATTAATTATTTTATGGCAAATCAACGCATATCAACTCAACTCATTGATTTATCAAGCGTATCTTGATCGTTTGACAAGCCTCATAATAAGGATTACTAGTACGTACCTGAATAAGCTGAATTATGTTGATACTCTAAAACTTAATGAGGCACAGTTTCTAAGACTGTTTATAATTTTATACTTTATAATCAAAAATTTTTTTTCATTTCATGCACTTATACCTTTAGAATTATTTAAGATAATTTTGCTCTTAACTTCCATTCACACTGATAGTTATCTCAGTTTTAGTATTTGCAATTCTAAAAAATTGTCTAAATATATTATAGGTATAATTTTAAATATTCTAAAAGACACACGAAACTAATATATTTAATTTTTTCATTCCAGAAGAAGCTCGGAAGAAGAAATTCGGCAAAAAGAAGAAGAAGCACCTACACAAACTGATGATGATCGGTATGCTGGTTAAATCCAAGATCGGTCTTCTCCTGCAGCTGCTCTCAACGCACTTTCAAGTGAAATTCTTCGTAATCGCAATCCTTGGCTTGATGATCAACGCGGCACGTTTCTGGCTGGATCTCAAGAAAAGCTTCAAGCCATCCAAGGTCATCTACTACGAGCACGCTCAGCATCAGCATCATTACGACCACGACGATGATCATGGCATTTGGGGCAGGTCTTCCGACGAGGCACCCCAAGAACTCGCTTACAACGCCTACACACCTGATCACTGAACTTCAATAATGATCTCGACCAATGGAGATTTTACTTGAAGATAAATAAGACTGCGTGAAAGAGAGCGATACTCCTAGAAGCATTTGCGCTTAATTTAACCTGTATAATTCTCATTATCATTTGTTTTTGTTCTTGTGATTAGAGGAACCGTAACATTATTTTGTTTCGAGGCTCACCTGTTGAAATTAAAACAACACATTTTTCTAAAATTTAGTCATCTACTATCCGCAATCATTACTGCTCATGCTTCATCGCCTTGATATTTCAACAACGTATACATTTTGTACAGAATCAATGTCAGATACTTCCACTGTCAGATATTTGTTTTAATTTATTTTGACATAGTTGCAATTTATTTATTTTTTGATCAAAATTATTTTTAATGGCTAGAAAATTGGTGCATTCTAAGAAGTACACTGCATATAACGCAATACATCGATACCATATCTAATTTGCAGAAAATGCATTGTTCTAAGAATTCATTGACGTGGAGTCCGAACGAACAATGAATTTTCTACCTTTTCAATTTTTATAAACCAAAGTAGTTTAGATTCACGATATTAAAGTCTTAAAACAACATATTTATAAAATATCGTAAGACATTCAAAAATTTTATTTATACATTTCAAATTATAAAGCACTTGAGTATATCAGATGTAACCAAATAGATAGATACATCCTGTACAAAAATTTTCATAATTTTTGCCACAAATGCCATAGAAATTTCTTAATTATTAATTTTCAGTTCTGTGTAATTGATTTAGTGAGTTATTGTAACGATTGTATTTATTTATTGAACATTAAACTAATTAAGATTAATTCTTTGTCCAATATCCTTTATTCCAATCAAATGCTTAAATGAATTGTTTTAATGCAAACCCTGAGAAAAAATTTTTCCATTGCAATTAATCCACCGAATGATAACGAAATTTAGTTGTTTGAATAAACCTTCGTGCTGGCAATATGCGATTGCTCGGGATAGATAATAAAAAGTCGTGCTCACGATTTTTCATTGGAACATATTGGCGCAGAAATTATTCAGTAACGCGAATCTAGAACGTCAACTATAAGTACAGAAAAATATCAAATTGAAGTCAAACCAATAGAAAGTGAACACGTGAACCTCTACCCATACTGATTTTGAAAAAAGAAAAAATAAACGAAACATCGTCTTGGAATAAACCAGCCATTAGAGATTAAAGCCTCACCTACGTTTGATAATAAGGCATTAACAGCTCGACTTACTCATTGCGCAATGGACGATAAAGTCGTTGGTTCGAATGATACATCGTACACAGTAGAGTATGTGTGGCAAAGAAACAATCGACAGAAAATAAAAAAGAACAAAATAAAAACGATATACAAGCTCGATCGCTCCTTGTAAAGGCTCGTTAGCGATTCGCGACGCGCGCATTTCCATGCGCGCAAGAGCAGAGCGAGAATACACAAAGCCTTGAATCTCATCTCAACATCGCGTCGTCGTATAATGCCCTGAAAATCAGATTCGACAAAAGGCCTCACCTCCTTATACCATACGCCAACTTGACACACAACAGATTTTCACCTGCGATACGGGTGTCTCGTAAAAATTTTCCTGTTCACCGAAAGATTTGAGAGATGCGAATATGCCCTGAAATTCAAACGCATATCAAAAGGAATTCACTCGGGAAGAATTCGTTATTTAGAAATAGTTATGAAAACGGATTGCATGCATTTGGAGTATCATTATTATTTTGGCCAAAAATGTATGACAGTAGACTGTACTCTGCATTCATATTCTCTAATCGCTCAAGTTAAAAAATGATTCTTACCAATATTTCTATGTAACGACCACTAACATAAAAATAAGTCTATATATAATAAATATACAATACGTTTCTCAAGTTAATTTTCAATTACAGCGGCGTTATAATATCGAAAAACGATAATTTTCCGCGAGCAAAATATTTGCCGATAAAACTTATTGACAACAAATTGTAAACAGATACAGAATACTCGTAACGCAAACGCGATAACAGCGCTGCTTTTGTATCTTTTGTCAACCGTGTCTGAGTTTTGAATTTGAATACGATCTAGCATACACGAGAACCGGTAATTACCAGTGAAAAATTCTCAAGAGGTGTCGTTATTGCAATCTTCGCGTGGCTGAAAAGAAAAAGAAAAGAAATTTCTCGTTTCGATGACCTTTGGTGAAATTCACCTGTCGAACTTCCTAGCCGAGCTTTAATTTGGCGCGCAGCTGGAATCTGATCGATTTGCAAATGGGAGCACGGCAAATTGCTTTGGAAGAAATCCGCTTCCGCGCCTGCTATTGTTCCTCGCGAATACAGCTATAACCTCGAACTTTATGACTATTTAAAAATGACTTTACGGTACAAGTTTATACTTTGCATTATGCACGAATGTGAATGCGTTAGAATAATTTCGTTATGAGAAAATAAACAGCTCTTTGCGAGGCATCACAAAACTAAAGTCTCAATTAGTAATGTCACTTAGTTTTTAGTGATCGTGTTATATTTGCCTCCAAAAATCATACAGAGTCTTTGGAAGAATGTTAATTAATGTTTCTGTAATGAATTGAATAATATAGCTTTTTCGTAGTCACTAAATTCAAAAAAGTTTTTTCGTTGCGACTAATTTGAGATGTAAAATATTTTTCCAAGTGATATTTTCGTAGCTTTTGTAAAGAATTTAAAGTTGCCTTTCTCACTCCCGACGTTGGAATTCGATGTTTAAAATGCCAAACACTCAGAACGCACGCGCGCATTGTCTATGAACCTATCTTTTCCTTTTCCTCCAGACTGTTTATTTTGGACACATGTAGATAGAAACTTGTCCATTTGTTAACAATTCATAAGTTTATTTTCTCGGCTGAAATTGATAATTTGCAGTGATACTTTTACATATGCGAGAAAAAAGAAATCTCTCTCTTTCTCTCTCTTTCTCTCTATCACGAGCAACTCATCCTTCACTCCGATGAATTTACTGAATTAGACTGTTTCCTTTAACCCTTTTACCAGCTATCTTATCCGATGTCAAGTGGCAACAAACATACTTAGTATACTCTAGGAAAAAAATAATTTCTTTCGTTATATCTTAAAAATTTTCTAATGACATATATTATAATTTGATTACAATCGGAATGTTAAAAATCTAAAAGCTATATAACACCTATTAATTTAAAATGTATGGTACTTCGCGAAGTCGTGGTGATAGGAATTTCAATGCAAGTGTACGATTTATTGAGTCAGTAACACTTTTCTGCAGTTTGACGTTATAGTATTATTTTCTTTAAACTTGAATTGTAAATTCATTGAATCTATTTACACCAAATGTATTATTATTCAAAATTACATTTCTTTAATGTTTCAAATGTATCTCTCTCGATCACTGCATTTTAGAAAATTTTCAAAAACACGCTTTACTTTACATTTCAATGTTTGAGATATTAACTTTATAAATAATTAAATAAAATAAAATATACGACTTCATTTTTGACTATAATTAAAAAATATAGTCGAATTGTTAACTTAGCATATAAATATTAATATTTTCACATAATGGAAATCCTGAAAATATATGTTACTCCTATTACACGTTACCGCATGTCCGAGAATTGAATAAGTGAATTGTCATTTTAATTGAATTCAAACTCCGCCCTAGTTAACAACAGAGTACTTAATCTGTTGTTTAATAGATTTCGGTTGATTCTATATAACGACGTGGGCGTCTGTATCAGGAGGATGAACCTTATAAGAGTCAACGTAAACTCACGTGCCATCTGTCAAGCCGGCGGCAACTGCTTCGCAATTTGCATTGGGACCTTCGTGAGGATGATGGTGCACAGCGTCCCTCTGGTCATTGGTAGAACAAACGTGATGGAATTACTGATCCTCTGACTACTAAGAATCGCCCATTCATACAATATTCACAAGATTCTCACTACGGATGCTTGCTATATAACACCCTTCAAACACCACGAACACCTGCAGTTTTCATTCGAGTTTTGACTTGACAAATTCGACTTCAGCTATGTTTTTTCAAGTGTGCTATTAACAGTACGTATTTTTACATTTTTGATGGAAAGAATCAATTATCAAAACCATCATGTTAAAGAATGTGTCTATTGTCTTTTTTTTTTTCATTGAGTTTGTGGTTACAATACATGCACAACACAGAAGTAGAAGACCGCCCTTGCTTTATCAGGTAAAATGTCATCATCATTGAAATATGAATACATTCTGTTAATATAAACAAAAGTGTTATTTCGAAATTTAAGATGCGATTTCTAAAGGTGGTGTGTTAAATACTTCTTTAACATATCAAATACGCCTAGACTTCTAACAAAAAATATATAATTTATAAAGTTATTGCCCGTCAAAAATTTGTGCCAGACTACTTTAATTTTAAGAACGTGCTGTCAATATGAGTAAATAAAACTGATTTAAATTCGTTGATAAATTTTATACAAAATGTTATAGAAATTACAGTGTTTGGATAATAACGAGAGTTGTTCGATTAATAAAAAAATGACCGGGGTAATGGCGTAGTCACATTGTTTTTGTATTAATTTAAAAATATAACTAAAAAGTCGATCAAACATAAAAATATATCGTTTCATTAAGTTATCTAATCTTGTTAGAATTATATCCACTTTAAAATAGAAAGGTATACGAATATATTTTATTTATTACGACTTATGGAATCCAAAAACGTTTAATTGTCAGTAATTAAGACACTTATCTTGTTTAAATTAATATTTTATGTTCATTTTGTATGTTATTTATTTAAAAAAGTTGTTATTTAAGAATAAACCACTTGGACTACAATTACCGGACAATGCCACATCTATTAGAGAAAATATAGTTGATACATTCTCTTGTGAAAATCGTATATATGGTTACTATGCAGATGTGGACAACGAATGCCAAATCTTCCATGTTTGTGTTCCGCAAATTCGACACACAAAAAGATACAGCTTTATATGTCCTGTAGAAACTGTTTTCAATCAAGTAAGCAATATGTTATTCACCTGATAAAACTATCTTCAAACTTTAAAATCAAATCTTGACAGTAAAAAAAACCTTGTTGTAAAATGGAAATGCAATAATGAAAAGTCATATACGCGATAATTCATTATTATTGAATAAGAACGTGACCTATTTTCGGTAAAGTAAAGCTTTTTTAGATTAGTAAAATAAATCAAATTTGTTATTAGCCAACGATTTAAATTCCAATTAAAGAGAAGCTGCGTATGCAGCAAATAATGAATTTCCTGCATATATATAATTAAGTCATCACTCCGTAAATATGGCTTTTTTCATTCTTCATGTTTGCAGGAAACACTCGTCTGCAGCCGAACCGAGAATTCTATACGATGCGAAGAGTCTCAGAAATATTATTATCTAAATGAACATTTTGGAAAGACAGATCACCAAACGAACGAAACGAATCCAGCACATCCACCATATCCTAGTAATTTTACACAAAGACCTATGAAACCTACTCAGTATCCCACCAAGTTAACTACTCCAACAACACCAGATTACTGGTCGACACAAACCTTTCCACACGCATCAACACAATATCCTACCAAGCCAACTTACCCTATAACTATAACGGATAATTGGAATTTACTTAGATCTACCAAACCATCTGTTACCACATCAGATTCTTGGATAACACAATCTTCGCGTAGACCGACTAGACCGCCAGGCCAACATACATCCACCCCTAATCATTCTACAACTCTATATACTCAGAGACTTTCAAGATCACCTACATTTCCACCTAGTGGCAATAACAATACTTCAGATGGGTTGACGACACAGTACCCTAGTAATTCAACAAAACCGCAAACTTATTCAACTAGCAGTAATAATTCTTTAGATTTTTTGACTTCTCAACATTCTGAAAGACCTACGAGAACATCAAATCATCTAACTACTATTCCACGATACTGGACTACTCAATATACCTAAAGACCGCCTAGACCAGTGACGTCGAGTAACGTATCATGGCAATAGTTTGGCGACGATTATGCAAACTACTAAACAATTACATTCAATGGAATTATTCTAGATATAATTAATTTAATGTCAACTATCATGCTTAAAATTTGATTATAAATGAACTAATTGACATATTTTCAAAGAGTTACTTTTTTCCCCTGGATCCATCATATTCAAGCTTGCTATCAAGAATCTATCAAATATGGAATTTTTGACTGATGATGAATTGTACATATTATTCTGAGCTATTAGTTTTTTTTTTAATAAAAATTTGTCGTATAAAATTTATCACGTTATTTTATGAATATATATATATATATATACAAACACATATATATAGTAATTAGTGATGTCTAGCGCGCTTCATGCGCTTATTTTTTTCAGCTTTTTTACGAATTCATTTTAATGCACGAATATAAAAACTTTTTTTGGCGAAATTAAATTATACATTAAATATTTCCATGATTTGATATAAGATATAGCCGATGCTATTACGTATTAGTGAATAAATATGCACTTACGTTGATATACATGATTAAAAAATCTAATATAAGTTTTAAAACCATTATAGTTTTCTGTAACCATATACTTAAAGATGTAAATAACATAGTGCAGTGGACGTTCACGATTGTATTTTCAAAACAATCCTCTAATATTTGCAGTAACTAGATGAAGTCGAAATTACTATATTATTTTGTCATAATAATCTATCGAATTATAACTTTCATTACCTATTTTGTTTATTCGAATCTAAACTTTCGCATGAAGCAAAGTTCAATTAATTTCTCTATCGAGATATTAGTCGGTTTGTAGTTTGAGGTTAGTATGATTAAATTAATCATTTCATATACAATACATGTCAATTATACCGATACACTTTTCGAACATTTAATCATCTAGGAAAATCTGCAGTAATCCTTTATTACAGTACACAACACACATATACCATTACATAACAGCTGATCACATGATTATTTTACAACGAATCAGATCACCAAGAAACTGACTTCACTTTGTTATTTTCTGTTTTTTATAAGACTAGGGACTAGGGACAAGGGACATCAAACGCGTTTCACACACTCTCATCTTCTTTTTCATTTCTTGTCATATTGACTGATATATTTAACACAAATCACTTTTTTTAGGGTGAATTTTTCAATTTTTTTGTAAAACACATATCAGCGGAAAAATATGTAGTAGTAAAGCAGTTCCGCGTGTTCCAAATTCATGATTTATGAAGAAAACTGCTACAAATAATCTTTAATTCTTTTCAACGATACGGATCAAATTACTATTAAACATTTATCTCACTCATTGAATAAAGATTGCGACATTACAACATAATTTCAATCTTACACGTTCAAATATCAGATTATCGATTTATAATACAAATAATCGGTATAATTCCAAAGCATAACTCTTGCGTTTACCAAACGATTTAATCGCTACTAGTTTCATAAAATAAGTGTTGAAGCGATATCACTGCAACCTATTTTTCTTTACTTTCATTCGTTTTAAAATCACCCGTATCAATTATGATAAATAGAATTTTTACTAGTAAAATCTTAATTTGAAACTATATACATACTTGTTTATTTGCCATCACATAGCTCCAGTATATCACATAATAACATCGTAGCCAATAAGATCATAAATAAAATGCTTCAACATGGCATTCATCACTTTTTTATAAGGCGAAAAGAGTATAAAATACGTCCAGCGTGCTCCGTGCGCTTATATAAATTTTTACATCTCTTTCAATATTCATATTAACATTCAATGCATATGCATCAAAATTTTCGATGGCAAACTTTGAAACTCTAATGATCGAAACTTATGAAATAATACGATTCGAATATGCTAAAACCGTTGTATTTCATTAGTAAATATATTTAACTGTAGTTTTTATAAGTAGGCAAATTATTTAAGTTTCAAAAACATTAGTAAAGTAAAAGTTAATAACCCCTACTTTTCTCAATATGCCTTACCAAGGTATTCATGCACCCAACACAACTCTCCAAAACATATACACACATGTACACACTGTATGGTCATATACCACGTGACCAATTCCCAGCCAATCAAAATGCTTGATATCGGTGACTAAATCTAGTCCATAATTTTTTTTAAGGAAAGAATAAAGAGATTTTTATAAAATAGATAAATAGATAAGAGAGATAACCGATAATTTCAAACCCACAGCATATACTCGATCATGATTGAAATGGTATCGTAAACAGTAATTTACTATAAAAAGTAGTATTTAAGATAGTTTGTGAAAATACAATAAAAAATTAGTCCTAACAATGATTTTATAAGTATTTTGACTATTGAAGTATGGTAATTCAAATATTATCTGAAATATTTGGTTGAAAATATGTTTAAATTATGGCTCAAAATACACTATAATAATTACAGTAACAATAACAATTTATTATAGTAACAATTTTCTAATCAGTAACGTAAGTTTTACATATAAATCTTATTACTAAATTATCACTATACGCAAAAAATATCTAATATATAACCTATTTTAATAGTATTTTATAAAAACTAGTAGTTTTTAATTTTTTTCCACAAAATTCACTAGTAACGAAGTGACAAGTAAAGAAGCAATGAAAGATTTAGAAAAACACATAATGTAATCATAACGTATACTAAAAAGTTATGCATTATCTAGGTAAATACAGTATGCTTTTAAAAAATATTACAGAAATAGCTAGAAGCTGCACAATTAACAGTAATGATATGTATCGATATTGGTTCTCGAAATGATCGAACTAAATATTAATAAGCATTAATGTCAATTAAGTTATGGTAAAGTAAGGTATGAAGTTCTGGTGCCGATATATATACATATATATATACACAGTGAAACGGCACTAATTAGCCATATAAATTTTGAAACTTATGAATTAAATTTTTTTTAATAATTATTGAATTCAAAGATTAGTATTCAAATCATGTATCAATGAATATTTAAATTTGTAATTTAAAAGAAAGCGGAAAATCTCCATTAAATTAAGAAAGTGCTATAGCTTATTTACAAAATTATAACCAAAATTTATGTGAAAATATTAAGAAGTGAAAAAAAAAAAGAAAATTGGAAAGTCGCAAGTAAAAAAAGTATCGCAGCAAGTTGCAAAACCACTTGTCACTTTCTAGTCGGTATCTTTGGATAGCTAGCCATCTTTTAACAGCTGAGAAAACATTCCTCAAGACTGTATCGCTTTTCCTATAAGTCAGTACATCACGACAAACAAAATATAAGTACACTTATGCCGTTGCCTCATCTTTCTATCCCGAAAAAGATACTCGGTAATCGAACGTTTTTATGGAAGACTTTCAAGTTTTTTTACTGTATGCCATGCATTGATTACAACATACAATTTACAATATTTTTTTGTGCTTTACAATTTTTTTCTTTACGTCAAATGCGAATTATTGCTTTCTTTTTTATTATTGTTATGAACTATTTTCAAACATTATAACATTAAGGGTTACAGGTTAATGACAATAATTTTATCTGTGCTGTTTAATTATAAATATTTCAAACAATGATAAGTTAATATTTTGCTGAATACTAAACATTGCACAAAAACAATTAGAGACTAATTAACGTCAACGTTTAATGTAATAATATTCAAACCTAGCTGTACTAATAACTATAAAGATTGACATTAAGTAGTTTTGATATGAACATAATATAGCTTCATAATTTATCTACATTTGCATCATAAACATTAATTCTATTCTTGTAATTATATTGAAATTTATACCTATTTTGACGATGAATATAAAAAAATTGTGTTCAAAACCTAATTCAAATTTAATTTTTAACAGACGTATTCCTAAATACATCAATGAATTTTGCTTGTGATGACATCCCTGTTTTACGCCGTTTCTCGTAAATGAACATCATTTTGCAATAATTTATCAAAAACTTTCCAAAATAATAATTTGCTTACGAATTTGCTCATTTCAGAAACGTTATCAAAAAATTAAAAGCTTCAAGTTTTGCACAAATATGATGTTCACCATTGTTTTTAGACGACTGAACTCAACTATAGGCATTATATTAAACGATATTGTACGTGAGACCAACAACGAAACATAATAATTTCTAATGAATTTTACTTTAAATAATTTATCAAACCTTAATTGATACAAATACGCCATTATAATTACATCTATACTTATTATATTCTAGTCTTAAGCTTTCGAAATATCACCTACACATGTAGTTAACAAATTTCTACAAAAACTATGTACATTAAACAACGCAACGCTTAAATTTATTCCTCTGGATTGAGCGTGAAATCAGCCTCAATCTCATTAGAATTTCTGAGATCAATAGCGAAGCCTTTGGACCAGCTTTTGACTGGATCTTCAGTGCGTTCTTTTACGTGCTGCGAGTAAATTTGAAAAGCAGCAGCTAGTGCGTAAGTCATTTGCCTGGCATGATGCTTAGACTCGCAAACAAACGCGTGACACTCAAAGGGTGATAATCTCCTGAAGTCTTCTGTTTCTCTGACAATGATCATGGAAAATACTCTGGTATAAACTAAATCTTGAACTCCGTAAGAGATACTCTCGATTGGGTAGATTTTCGAGATGGAGTCGGCACGGCGTTTGCCCAGCGGTAACAGACCAACGCCATCCTCAGAGATGACGAGTTTTATGAAAGGCAGGATTGTACCAGTGGGCAGTGCTTTGGCCGCTGCAACCATGTTGTCGACGGGTTTACGAATGTGCTTAATACCCCAAAGTCCGCGGGCATCGTGCGAACCGAGATATTTGACTTGGAACACTTGGGGTAGATCGCTTGAACCCTCGAAGACATTGCTATCGACTGACAGCTTTGAAAGGCGTAGTGTCAGCTCCTTGCGCTGTTCCTCGGTTAGTGATGGTTTTGACTGTTCTTTCTTCATTTCGTAACCAGATACCTAGAAAAAATCGAACCGTATTAGAACCGTGAAATTAAATAAATTTATTTTAAGTAACGGTGAAAGGGTCGACGTAATGAGTATTGACTTTTCAACTTTAACTTATTCGTCTGTCTCTTTTTTTTCTGAGGCGGGTGGACGTATAACGGTCCGGATGTAACCAGGAAATGAGGAAGAATGCGTCAGGTGCTCCAAGTAAACAATAACGGCAAAGACAGATTATATTTGTTTTACAATGTTCAATTATGCGTAAAGTATCCTATGAGCGTTATTTATCGTAAAAAATAAATAATATAAACGTATGTTCGGAAACCACAAATAAAATTCAAAAAAGAATAGAAAGAATTAAGATAAGAAAGATGTTTTTCGCTATTTTTCCAGATGGAACATTTTGATTTCTGGTTCACACAAAATTATTATCCGTAGCAGTGCTTATAACTTTAGGAATTGAATTACATGCACATTATGAAGGATGAGCCTGGGATTGTAAAATCTACAGTTTAGCTAAAGAATTGATAGACAGAATGGCTTTTAAAAAATCCAACCGTAAAATTGAAGTCGAAAGTGAAAGTCAGAAACGGCCGTTGTAGGTGTACAGAAAGTGTTCACACATTTTCAATGCGAGGATTTACAGTTTAAAGGTAGGTATTGAAAAAGACTGTTCCATATATCTATGTAACAATAAATAAATCAACTAAATATTTAATTTTACAGTTGTCTATTCTTCATTTTTAATCTGCATAATTTTTGTGACAATGGTATTGTGTAAGAACAATACATTTCTTATGGATAAATCACGAAACTTTCATACATTTGCGATTAAAAAATGTTGTATAAATATTCGTAACTGAATATTAATATTAAATATTCCTAATTAAACTGATTTCGTATTAAAAAGATGAGAAGTGTTTTTAAAAAATTGTATAATTCTTGGTAAATTCTATTATTGTAAACATGAAAAAGTAATTCACCTTATATGGTTATATTATATTAATTATATGCATAAGCACTAATTAAAATAGCATCAAAACATTTTTAAACCTGATTTATTTTAAATTATAGAAACATCTCAGCAGATAATTATCGTTACATCATACAATATATTATTTAATAAATTACTATAAAAGTGTATATTATTATTACAGTTAAAGAAAGTAAATAATGTATTTATGAAGAAAGGTTGGTTTATTTTTCATTTATGAATTGTGTAACGTAAATTTGGAAGAAATGACGAGCCAAAGGATGTGATTCCCATGCAATTGAGACAACAGGGGGGGAAGAATGAAAAAAAGTCGCATCGGAATCAGAAAAAATAAAAAGAAGAGTTCGGCTCACCGCAGCAGTGGTAGCAGTTCCGTTGTGCCTGGCAGTGTTTGCTGGTTGCGGCTTCACCTTCAAGTGATACTCAACGACATTCGGTATGTTCGGCGTCTCGTGGCCGACTGGCGTACGCCGTGGCTTTGTCGGCGACGACGTAGTCTCGGCGCTCGCGGCGCTGCTTCCGGTTTCCGCCGGCGGCGCCTCATAAGCCACGCCTTTCACGGGGGTGTCGTCGTTGCCACTGCTGCTGCCGCTGCTCTTCGTCTTCGAGACGTCATCGCAGCCAACCGCCGTCGTCGTCGTCGCAGGTGATGCCATCAAGCCTGCAGGTCAACAGTGCGCTTTTGTATTGCTACCTAGCTTTTCCGTTTCAACGGGACAAGGGAAGAAAGGGCACTTCGCTTGATGGGGGGCTCGAAATTGGTGTTATTACGGGGGGTAGTCGAGCGATTGGTTTCTCGAAGGAGGTGCGAGCATACAAGTGGTCAGCGGAGAGGGTGCCGTATGCAATATGTCTCTAATGTCAGGGTATGATAAGGCCTGGTGCGCTGAATACCGCGTACTCATTCGGTGTGATTGTACCTTTGGCATCGGAAAGGGCAAACTTCCTTCGAGCGTATTTCTAACAATTTAGGGCTTCTTGCGAAGGGAGTAATTGAATGGCCAACGGCCATTACTTCTATGCCTTACGTTTTATGATCGTAAAGCAAAAAGTTCGCTTAGTGTCGGAGGAGGAATCGCGAAAAACGCGAAAAGAACTGATACTTATAGCCGAATTATCACTGATATATCCTATATTTCTGGATATTGTATTCTAAAAGTGTTTACCAAGAAACTAAGTACCAAATTGACAAATTTTAATAATTAAAATATTTATGCTTATTTTTCATTATTGTATTTATCTTAAAACAGTACATTTTTCACCTCATTTTCAATAATTTCTAGAAGCATTCTTTTGTAACTCGAAAATGCAATATTTTATTAATCTAACATTTCGATGGTATTCAAATTGGGCTCGACATAGAAAAGTAACATCACTTCGTGATTATGTATGTCTTATGAAAAAATTAATGCCAAAGCATTGTGAATAGTATAAACATTTTTTATGCATAATTCACTTACATGTTGTGTAACAAAATCAATTCAAATATTTTGAATAATCAGATACGCAAGACTGCGGTAATTTTAAATGATCTCTAGCATATAAATTGACACTAATGCGATTCTAAGCAGAAAATAGTCCTCGAAAAGTCTACAATTTGAAAAATACAAGACCCTACTTATATTGAAATCCAATCCATTTTTCTAAAGAAAAGAGATTTAATCAGAGTAATTTTCGCCTAATTGAAATTCAATAGAGCCGAGTCAAGTAGCGCTCATATAAGGGTGCATACAGAGTAGTTAGTCCCAGGTTATACCTCCTCAGATTCTTATCCAGCTGTCGAAGGAAAAAAAGCAGCCATATGCTTGCGCGCTTATCCGTCTCGCCTTCAACATTATACTCTCATGCAATCAAATTATATATTAAAATCAAGCCTCAACATACCCATTTCTCAAGTCCATTTAAGGTCCCATAGCCTTTCTTGATTTCGATTTCAATAGTGCAAGTTAATTGCGTGCTTAGTATTCATCAAAGTTCAACAGCGGAAACTCACGCAGCAACAAACAACAATACATCGCCGAGTTTCGCAAAATACTATCGATTTTTTGTTTGCCTTGTTTTTTTCAAACGGGAGTTGCTTAGGACTAAGGTCGTTATACTATTGAGTGCATCGAACCGCAAAATTAGGAAAGGATAAAGCGAAAGGGAGAAAAAAAAAGTTCTTCAACGTCTCGGTTTTAACCGGAAAACAGCTGTCGGCTGTGTAGCGGTGGCGGCGGTGGTGGCAACAACAGCACGTGCTGCACCTTGCACCTGACCGATCCGTTTAGAGTTCTTATTTATGCCGCGATCTATATATACGCACCCTTCAGCGACCCCCCCCCCCCCCCCACCCCTCCCACCCCTCTAAAATGGATGAGAAAGGTATCTATACCAATGAACCATGACGTTATAGGGCGGAACGTTCCAATTTAAATGCTATATCTCATAGTTTCGTTGTTCGATGTTTTGTAGAAAATTACTCCACTTTCAAAAATTGAAGATTGGATCTATCAAATTACTTTTATTGACTATAAGTCAACCGGCTGGAAGTATAATATCCATATTTTTAATCGACGGTTTAGATTCATATAACCGACGTCAGCTTTTAATTATGACGTGTTGCAAATTAAACCCATTTTCAAAAGCAAAATTTTTCTAACCATATTTCACTTGCAAGACAAGAAAATTCAAGCACAGTTGATTAAGCTCCATCGTTATTGTTCTTTGGTAAACATGTGTGATAAGATGTGTAATTGCAGATTCAAGTGAAAATATTTGTATTGATCAAAGTCACGCAGAGATAAAGAATTGATATACTTTAACTAAACAACGACAGCACCAATTAGAGTCAGTTTGAAATATGTCATGAATACGTACAATATCAGCACAATACCAGAAAGTTCAGTTACAGGAATGAGAGTTGCCAGGAGATAAAGTCCTTTAATATTCAAGGGGCTCTTGTACAGGCGGAAGTGAGTCAGGTGACCGATAGCTACAGGTAGGGAGGGATTCATTAATGTATACAGCTCGGAAGCGTTCCAGGTGCGTAGTTTTAGGTTTTTTTCTTTCATTCTACAATGGTACTTTGATGTACGCATTACAGGGATTATAATCACTTTTTTTGGCAATGATTTTGCGGAATATCTGCTCTCTGCGTGGTTTTTTCATTACACACAAATTTCTACTTTTCCAATGTTCATTGGGTCTTCTTTTTTTCAAATAAAATTTTAATATATATAAAATATTTGAAATTTTAGTGATCGTTTCTGTTCCGAATGTTTTATATTGCGATCACGATTCGACTTCCTATAATGGAAGTAAATCGGTTTAAATAATTATCATGACAAAGCGTGTATGAAATACATGTCTTGTAATAATGATGGAACATAACATTAATACGTCTATTAATTGCAGCGAAGCAAGTTAAATCCACGAGAATCATACGTATATATATGATGATGGCACTGCGATTGACTGTATATGTATGTACGATGCATGCCTACAAATAAAAAAAAAGAAGCCGCCTTGGCATACAGCACTAATTAAACTCTTGACCCTTCACGCGAACTGTTGCCACTGGAGTGCACCTGTCACGCAGTTTATATGCGGCGGCTCAGATACATACAGAATATACGTTGCCACTGGAGTGCACCGGGTGGTCAACGATGTAATTGATGTTTACATTATAGTTGCGCACTCTTAAATGTTACGTATACACGATTATACAGATAGGCGTTTTGGTCGTTTTTAGAACGAAAAAAAAAGTGCGTTATAGGTGTCCGTGACAATACTCTTTCGCTTGGACGCGACTTTAAATACAAAGCTAACGGTAAGTGAATTGAGTAGCATAAGCACTTGCAAAGCTTGTTATTGCGGTCGTACTGGCTTTCCGTTACATCTTTTCAGATGGGAAATTTTCTTAAATTTTACCTTGAACTCCTGGAAGCACACATCTCAAGATTAAAAGATTAATTTTAACGAAGCGAAGAAAATTACAGAGATGGTTAGACTATTATATAAAACCAAGTGTGCGCGAGCGCTTCTTAACGTTAGTGCCGTCGTAAAAATATAAAATATTGTTTTTATTTTCAGCACCATCCTACGAAAAGTAACGAATGAAATAAATCAAATAATGATTACCGGTTTCGTTGGATTTCGCATCGAAGAGGAAATCATTCAACAAATTGTCCCGCAAAACAATGGCAATCATTTCGTACGAGGGGGTCTCCCTATCAAGACACAATCAAAAGCCGCACGCGCAGGAAGGAAGAAAAAAAATGAAAAAGCAGGGAGGAAGACAACAAAAAAAAATAGAGAGACGGTGCTCGTGCAAGCGTTGCGGCGTTACTTTCGGCCATTGTCCGAGCGAGCAATTTAATTTATATACGACGGCCACGAGCATATATGAGCCCAGCATTTTATTCGGAGCGAGTGCTCGCGCGCGCGCAATTAGCGAGGATCTCCGGCCGCCTCTCGACAACAACGGAAACCGTTGTGTATGCGCGCGCGCCGCGCGAGGCTTTAACGATGCGTGAGCATCCGCCGTTTAGACGGCACACGCGCGCAAGAAACCGACCGAAAATTTTCAACCCGTTTTCTCTCTCTCTCTCTCTCTCTCTCTCTCTCTTTCCTTTCATGAGTACTTCCGCACTTATTCCAACGCCACTGACCTCTGGACGTTCAGTAAAACGTCACGGTATGTTATTTGTTCGTCAATTGTCCGATCGTTTAAAAATTGAGTTGGCGCGCGGCTGTGCAACGGCTGCACGTACTATAATTTTACGAACGTTATGGATACAGCTCCGAGCTTCTTGTTCTATCTTGTGTTCTCCTTGAATTTTTCCGCAAGATTAATATGTAACAGCGTGAGAAAGCGAATCTAGGATGCATTAAAAAAAACTACGAGTCCATTGCGAAGAAGTAATCGCGATTTTCAAGTCCACGGCGCGCGAATCGCGCGAAACAATGGAAAAGCGCGGCCGATTAAAAGCCAAGATGGTGAATCGGTCGAGTGGAACGCGAGATAAGGAATTGATAAGAGAGCAGAAGACTTGAATATCTGATGATTACATGCGTGTTTTTCTGTTATTCATTTGCCGAGCGTAATCACGAAACTTGCGGATTTTATGCAAACGCACGTAAATACAAACATTGATCGGAGATATTGCCAACGATGGTCGCTATGATCTTACACGCTAAAAGGTGTGGCTTACGGTTTCGCAAATAATTTATCCGAATTGAGTTATCGATTCATTCGGACGTGTGAATGAAAACCATACCGAAGAGCTTGCGAACAATAACATTGTACAATCATAATACCGCGATACTCGTAACGACACTGAAAACATTTCCTACTCGGTCGAATATTCAACTCGTCGAATTTTCGTAGCTCGAGACCATCAGCATAGAGAACGTTGACGCGTGTCGCGGAATAAAGTTGCTGTTTCCTAATACGTACCCAATGAATAAGCCAGTCAGACGAAAACGAGAAGAATTTAGTTAGCGAGGTAGCGTGTAACACTTTTACGACAGTGGAAACAAGGAAGGAACAGCTTGACAGCGTTCCGCGAACGTGCCGCTGGACACTCTCGACACGCACACGACTGACAACGTAATTCACCTCGGCGATTTGGCGCCGTCGCGCGCCAAGCTTTATCTCACTCTTTCCATTACCTCTCT